CAGCAGTTTGTCCAGTTTTGCGATCTCCACAGCTGGACCCTTCTGCACTTCCTGGCCCTTCTTTTCCTGGTGAGAAGGGAAGTACACGTGGGGGAGGAATGGTGAGGGATGGGCCACCTCTCCCTACTTCCTAGCACCACCTCCTGAGCCCAGCTTAGGCAGCTGTGCCACGCCTCTCTCCTGCCCAGTTAGATTCCGGACCCCTGCCTGCCGCCCCCAACCCCCCCCCCCCCCGCCCCCTGCACTGAAGGTGCACCCTGAGGGGATTCAGGATGAGAAAGCGTAGGACACTGGCCCCAGATAGGTGAGGTGCACATCAAAGGGGTGGTTTCAGTGAGCCCAGACTCTTGCATCTCCCCATACATTGATAAGAGCTAAATTCCTTAACTTGAGATGTCTGGTTTTCTTTCATTAACAGTAATCTTTTGATGTTCCGACTACCTGGTCTTTTTTGCAAAAACTCCTATACATCCTGGTTCCCCCCTTGCCTCTTCGGGGCAGTCCCTCAGAGCAATCCAAGAGGCTGCGTCCCAGGTTTAACCCCCCCCCCCCCCCCCCCACCGAGGATCCTTCCCCATCCCAGGTTGGGTGGCAGGGGCCCAGCTGAGGCCTGCAAGAGACATCCAGCTATGTTTCTGAACCTCAGATCAACATAGGATCCTTATGCTGGGAGGAGTGGGGGAGGCCAGGAAGAGCTGTAGCCCAGGGCCTCTACCTGTTGGGAGCACCCTTCCCACAGGAAGGTCCCTGGCTGAGTCCTAACACGGAGCTAAGAGGTGTGTGTTTGTGGAGGGGAAGAGTGTGGACAAAGCCACAGGTGCCCTCACCTAGTGCTGTTACCTAGCATTTTCAGGTCAGGTTGGGAGTGGGGTACCGTTTGGGGCCAGGCCCGCTGTGTCAGACATACCCAGGGTGGGGGCAGGTGTCAGGAGACCCAGGAGGGCTGATGGGATATCCTGTGTGATTCCAGATGTCCTTGGCTGGGACTGTCCCTCAGAAGAGCGGGTCCTGAATTTATGACCCCTCACCCCTGCCTACAGGGCACTCTAATCCTTTAGCTGGTAAGCTGGGCCCTGAGAAAAAGAGAGCTGGGACACTGGGGTATGTGTCACTCAGGCCCTGAGAGATCCCTCGCAGACCAGTACCAGTGCCATCCTCCCTTCTGTCCAGGCGATGGGGTGTGGGCTAGGCTGGGGCAGCTGCCATTTCCTGCCTTCCCTTTGTGCCCGGGCCCTCACCCCCTCAGCCACCTGTGCCCACTGCTCACTGGCACCTGCCCCAGCCTTGCCTGCTGAGGGACCAGCGTGGATCTGGCCCGGGCTGTGAGGTGGGAGGAGAATGCAGGGCCAGCAGGCCCCTTCCTGGCCCCATCTTGGCTGCTGACACCCTGTGGAACTCAGATTTCCTCCTGGTGTGACCCCTGCTCCTGTTCCCAAATCTGTCTCCCCCTCCCCGTGCGGCCCAGTGCCTTTGCCACTCCCCGGCTCACCTCTACATTCCTGAGGCAGAGTACAAAGATGGCTTTTTCTCTCTCACCCCCTCTCCCTCCCAAATTAACCTTGTGTTCTCTTCTTGCCCTCACCTCATCTCCTGGGAGTCAGGAGATCTGGCTTTTAGTTCCAGCTTTGTCATTAACTCCCTATATGACTTTGGGCAAGTTCTGCCCAAACTGTTTCTATCTATACAGTAGTTGGGGAAAGTAGGCCTTAACCTTTGACAAGCTGGGCTCTGACACCAATCCTGGGAAGCTCCTTGGGCTGGGAAGTCGGGCCTCTGTGGCCAAGCCCTCTTGGGAAGATCAGGGAGACTGCACCCTGCAGAGAGGGGCAGCAGGGATGCCCAGAGGACTTCCTTTGGCCCGAATCACTTGGCTGCTGATAGAGTCGGGTGGCGATTTCACAGGAACTGCCAATCCATCCAAGAACTAGCCCCCAGCTATCACCTGCTCAGGTCCTCTGATTCCCAGGTACCCGTGTCCTCAGGTCCTCAGAGATATAGATGCTGAGCCTTGCTCTGAGAGGAGTTGGGACTGTGGGAGATCCTTGCATCCCTGGGTCAAAGTGGGCAGGGCAGGCCCCCACCCAGATCTGCTGCCTTCAAGGTGTGATGGTCATACCCCAGCCCCAAAGGGTCACCACCATCCCTCCCACAGGGCTGTCCAGCTCTCCTAGCTCAAGCCTGGGTTTCTCTCCTCACTAAATTAAGAGCAGATTTTATCTGTTCCACAAATTGTACTGCCTTCTTCCCCCTCCTTGAGGCCAGCTAGCTGGGCCTAGCAGAGTTTTAGACCACACCCAACCCCCCGCCCCCCATCCCGTCCCATCCCGTCCCATCCCATCCCACCCCCAGCCCACCACAGCCTCTGGGCCACAGCTGCAGGCACTCAGCAGCCTTCTGAGTATTTATAGCCAAGTCCACCCCCTCCCCCAGCTGGCTACAATTACAGGCCCGGCCAAACTCCCAGCCCTTGCCTCCCTGGCCCTGGTGGGGAATAGGCCAGGCTGGCACGAGAGGGTTAGTGCGGTGGTCCCTGCCTTGGTAGGGGCACCAGGGGGCAGGTGTCAGCAGTTGAAAGAGACACGCCCCTGCCCTTGCCTCAAACTGCAAGTAAATGCCTCAAACTGCAACCAGGGGGTACAGTCATCAGGGCAACATGGCCCAGCTCCGGCCCAGCTCTGATGCTGGCACAGAACCTGGCAGGAAGCAAATTCCATTTTCTCTCCTAGCGCCCAAATGGACAGGACTGGACTCTAGGTTTTTGGACGCTGGATTTTTAAGTTGGACCTTTGGGCTCTGTATTCTAAGGCCTGGGTTCTTAAGTCTGAATTGGGACTCTGAGAGCTAGACTTTGAGGTCATGGCTCTGGGCTCAGTGGCCTGTATTCAGGGCCCTTGGGCTCTGGGCAGGGTCTCCGGATCATTAGCGATTCCAGAAAGGAACCAGAGCTCAAAAGGAGGACTGCCTAGCTGCTGACCTAGTTACCCTCCTCATGGCTCATTTCCTATTTCCCGTGTGGACCCGGAGCTCCCAGTTCAGAAGCCCTGTGCAAGCCCAGCCAGTGAAGCAGAAACTAAGCCTCAAGCCGCTACCTGCATGACACCAAACAAGCCAATGATGCCCGTGTGCTTCCCCCAGGCTTTGAGTCCTCATAGTCACCTGCTTACCTGATGTCTCCACCTGGGGGCCCCACAGGTAACTCAGATTCAGCAATGTCAGAACTGATCTGTCTCCTGCTTCTCCTGTGCTTCTCACTTGGGCAATGACACCACCCTTACCCTGGGCCCCCAAAGCCAGAAACCTGGGGGCCACCCCCTGGCTCCTCCCCTTTCTCTCAACCCCCTGCCATCCTGGAGACTTTCTCTCACGGCAGCCTGAACTCCCCAAAACCGTACCTTCGGCATCTTGCACAAATTGGGTGAGAGCTTGAGGCAGGTGACGTGCCCACGGTCATCGCCCACAATGATGATGGGGTGGATGGGGTTGAACTGCACATGGGTGAGCTTGTTCTTTTGGGCCACCACAGGCTGGTTGCATATGGCCTCGTACTTGTTGATGGACAAGTCAAACACGTGGGTCTGTGAAGAGGTGGGTGTCAGCACACTCGGGGAAATGAGACCCCTATCGCCTACCTCAGAGTAACTGCCCCTGAACTTTCTGGGGAGAGTCGACAGAAGCCTAGGCAGTGTGAGAGGCAATTTGTGTCTCTGTTTTTCCTGTGGTTGAGGGAATGGGGATAAAACGTTTAGGAAAAATTTTAAGTCTATGCAGAATTAACAGTAAGAGCAGCTGCCATTTATGGAGCACTTACTATGTACTAGACTCTGGGCAAGCATGTTACATGGTTGCATCATCGAATTATAATCCACAGCCACCCTATAAGGTAGGTTCTGTTATTATCCCCATTTTATAAATGAAGAGAAAGAGGCTCTTAAGGCTAACTTGCCAGTAAGTGGCAGAGCCAGGTTTTCTACCAACTAATATATGTCAGGTGTTCAGACAGTGCATGTCATAAAGGTGCTCAACAGGGACTTCCCTGGTGGCGCAGTGGATAAGACTCCGCGCTCCCTATGCAGGGGGCCCAGGTTTGATCCCTGGTCAGGGAACTAGATCCCACATGCATGCCACAACGAAGAGTTCACATGCCACAACTAAGGAGCTGGCGAGCTGCAACTAAGGAGCCCGCCTGCCGCAACTAAGACTGGGTGCAACCAAATAAATATAAAATAAAATAAAACCGTTTTAAAAAAAAAACGGTGCTCAATAAATGTTTGATCTTATTTTTACCGCATCCTAAGTCCGAACCATTAGCAACTCTTGCCTAGACGACTGTGGCAGCATCCTAACTGGTCTTCCTGCTTCAGCTCTTGCCTTTCTATCATCCATCCTTCATGCAGCAGCCAGACTTACCTTTAAAAAATCTAAAATCCTCCAGTAGTCTCCCTGGGCACTCTACATAAAGTCGAGAGTGCCTACTTTATATTCTGCACTGTCTGCTCTCATCTCAGGCTCTCACCCCTTTGCCTACTAGACCCCAGCCACCCTACCTGCCTGTTTCTTAAACCCTTCCAGGTAATTCTCCCCTCAGGGCATTTGCACTAGCTGTTCCTCTGTCTGGAATGCATCCCCGCATCTTCACCTGGCTGGCTGTTTCTTGTGACTCAGCTCTCAGCTTGAATGTCACCTCTTTAAAGATTTCCCTGTCCACTCTATCTCAGAGACCACCGAGTCCTTT